ATTTGGACAGCATGAAGTAAAGAAAATCTGTAGGTAGCAGATCTGAAATTCTCTCCCAAATTTGTAGAGAGGAAAAGGTTGGCTGGAAGCTTTCTTTGAATTTCTCCAGGGGAAGGACATCTTTCCAACTGTTTCTCAAGGGTGACCTTCTAACCGTACAATAGCTTGCCAAGATTGCAAGATGTCTCCAATAGAAAACAAACTTGGCTGTTTGGTCCTCTGTAATCCTCCCATTGCTGAAGTTCTCAGTCATCCAGTTAGGAAGCCTGAAGCTATCCTCCCTATCTGAAAAGCAAATGCATTCCTTCAAAAACAAGACACGAAACTGACTAAGCCATCAAGTCATTGTTGACTCCTATAGACAACATAGTTTTCTCCATGACAACCAGATATGAGACATAAAAATACAGCCTCTTCTAGGAAGAACCCAAGGAAATATTACATCCAACTCAATTATTATATACCAAACATCAGAGATGGGGTGCTTTCCACCTGCTATGCACATCATTTGTTTTTTGTTCCATATTTGCTGTTGTTCTAAAGCCATTCTAAATGCCCATACTTTTCTTTTGAGAAAAAAAATCCCATAGGAGGAGCAACCTCCTGGTCTCTTCTGTTAGAATTTAAGGAAAGTGGGAAAAGCTGATGAAAACCAAGAGAGAACTTTTCGATGAAAGTAAGGGCTCTTTGACAACTGAGCTAACTAGGAAAGGGTTATACCATCAACAATGTACCAATCCCAAGAATTTTCCCAACATTCCCTTCTCCTTTAGTAGAATATCAAAAGCAAAATTTCTTTCATTACACTGAAAACTAGTGAACAGGTTTTTCTCTAAATCAAGGAATAAATACATTTGTAGAAAAAAAATTAGCAATGTGTAACTTGTTCAGCCAGCTGTAACCTTGCACACAACCTTAGAGATGTTGTCACACATATAAATGAAAAATTCCTATTTAGTGGTAAGACCTCTGGAAAAGATATGAAGGCTGACTTGTTCACACATTTGGTATATTTTAATACTAAGTTTAGTACCTAATAAAGGATATGTATTGAAGGTCACATTCTACGATAGTAATTTCCCATTGTTCATTTCTCACATCCTGATGAATTTTATCTCTAACAAAATTCTATTTCTAACAGTTTTAGATTTTGTTCTTTCTTTCTGGGAGTATGATCGGTATCAGTTTTGGGGTTTCTCACATCGGTTTCACATACGTGAGATAGTAATATCTCCATTTCCTGTGTTTCTTCTATTGTCATGGTAACTTTTATTTTGATTTCGTGTGGTCTTCTCAAAAGGTCCCACTTAAAAGAAAGACAAGGTATTTATGCGCAATGTAGAAGCCAACCAAGAAATATTTCCTCATTTATGTAGGCAACTAGATAATACCGAGTCAAAATAACTGCTTCTACAAATTGTATTGTGCATGTAACAAGATGTGGGAAGCTACAGCAGCTTTGAAAACATGTGATTTTAGAGCATCTCTTACGGCATTAGATTTAAACATTTATGTATGGGATAATACAAAACTAAGGATTTCTGCAGATATCGCTTATTTATTTTTAATGTGTGATTATGTTCGCATCTCCATATACTTTCAAGTTATCTCTTAAAAATAAGAGTAGAAAACATAACTGATGATAAGAAAAAACCTTTGTGGATCAGGCCAAATCTAATAGATCACATACAGCACACAAGTTGTGCAGGCTCAGTGTGTACTATAGATTTATTTAAACACATAGAAATATTGCCATTACTGTATGTTTAAAACAGAAAGCCCTATGTGTTTGTTTGTTTTTTGTAACAGAAGATCATTTACTTGTTTCTCCACTCCCCCCTCCCCTTCATATTCCACTTAGCCACTGTTTTTAATTTCTGGACAAATTTTTTAAGCTCCAAATTTAAAAAAAATTATGGCCAGTCTTTC